TATATATATATATATATATATATATATATATATATATATATATATATATATATATATACTGTTTTTCTTGTCGTCAGTGGATGAACCGACCAATCTCGGAGGATCCACCATGGAAACACTATAAAACCACGGTGGTAGAATGGAACAAATACACTGTGGAAACACGATGCAACTCACCGTGGTTACTCAGTTTTCCACCGTCGTTTCACTGTAGTACCTTTGGTGGAACCACCCCGATTCGAAACCGCGAGGGTATGGTTGTGATGAAGGCATTGAAAAATAATCACAAAATTGCTTGACCTCGATGAGTTGGGTGTAAATCACTACCTCACGGGCTTCGCGCTATGAGGTGTGCAACATTTTTTAACGAATTTCAACGTCATTATTATAATCAATAGTGATTTGGCAGCGTTGTATGTGTCACCACTTCGATTTATGTAGCGTAGATATTTGATTGTATGTAATATTACTTCAAAACGACCTGCTACTAAGAGCCCAAATTTTTAGAGGATTAATTTATGATATAGGCAGTACTTTCTTAAAATTTAAAAACGATGGGTAGAGGTTGTCCCGTAAAAATTATTTTAGTTAGAACAATCTCATATATGTGTTTTAGTTATATTATTAATTAAGAATTTTATTTTTATATGTAGTAAAAATGTATTTATAAAAATTAAAATTATCAAAAAATAAAAAATTATTGTAAATTAACATGCCACAAAATGAAAACATTGAAGATAATATGTTATTATTTTCATTGTTTTAAAGAAATCCAGTAGGTTGGAATATTTGTTCCGCATTCAACATAAAACTGAAACAATAGAAAAAAAGATGATAAATAAACATCACTTTTAATTCTTTAACTATGTACTAAAAAAATTACAGCAACATACCATTATTTAAGATGAATTCCATCGACAAATTTTTGAAGTAAAACAACAGCAAGAGACGGTTGAGACTTTCCCAATGCCTTGTAGTCTTCAGTATTCTTCACCTCTGTAAAATTGATAATTATGTGTGCAATGACTATTTCTTTCAACTGTGTTGCATTGTAACGATCTGCCAAAATCAATAATTTTATAGCATTTTCAGTATTTAAATTTTTGGCTAGAGAAACTTCGCACGTCTCTTTAAGTCCTTGAAGCTGATACTTGTCCGATGCTTCCAATAGTTCATTAGCAAAATCATCTAAATCATCAATTTGATCCGTATAGATAAACTCAAGAAGCTTTCCGAATACCTTAGGATCGATATCTGGTATGGTTACTTCATTTTCTTTGTTCTCCTTCATGTCGTGTGAAAACATAGCTTCAAAAAAGCTGCTCCGTGCAATCAAAATAACCTTATGAGCATCAAACTTTTTATTACCAACTATGATAACTATATCAGATTTTGTCTTAGTAGTCAAAAGATCTTTAAAGTCATCAGCTAATTTTCGTCCTGAACCTTTCAATGAGTTAATTGGATTAGCGATTGTCATAGGATCATCATAAACAGTGATATCAACACATATTGTTAAACTATCATCTGCTTGCAGAAATTCATCTTTTCTATTTAATAGCTCGCTTGCATCGATATCCATCTTGCCGATGCAAGTATCGATAACAACTTCATTAGTTAGTTGGCTGACATATTGACTTTTAACATCATTGAAGCAAGGACGTATTTTATTTCTTTCATTATTTAGAAGATATAGTCTATACTTTGTTCGAACTTTCCGCCCTCCATTTTTAGGATGTAAAGATATTAACATTTGTGTTCTGGTACAATCTAAAAATTCGAATGTATTTTCCTTTTCTTTTTTGCAAATTTTAAGGCGTAGCTGCCATGAATCTTTTATTTTCGCACCTGCTGAAAATTCAAGCGATTCTAAGGTAATGCCATCCACACTCGCGCATTCAATATACGACGTAATGTTCATGATGTTCCATTTGTACACATTTGGGTGTTCTACTGAGTAAGAATAACTTTCTGCTTCCACTTTGTCACAAGTTATTTTTTTACTTCTATCTAGATATAATTTAGTTTTTTTTAATATATTCATTTTAATATTTTGGCTCACCGAACTGGTTCCAAAATTTATCAGACCCACTTTTTTCTTCAATTATATCGGAAACTAAAATAAAAACATTCAATTATCGTTAAACAATAAAGAAGAATTCAATTACACGGGAAAAAGAAAACTCGAAAAATTAAAGTATAAAATGTCAAATCGGTCCCGTCGTAATCAAAACTAGAAAAATTACAGTTTGAAATAACATTTTTCTGAATTCAATTTTTTAATTTAATATTCAAAGGTTTCAATCTAAATATTACATTCTACAATGTAATTCTTACAAAATTTGTAATAATTACATTAGAAACTGTAATTTTTCCAGTTTTCATCACGAATAAGCGCTACGTTGCATTATATACTGTAATTTTTCGAGTTTTCTTTTTTCCGTGTAGCATCTGAAATTTGTGTTTCTATTAAATACTTTTAAATCTTGAAATAATTTCTAAATTTAATTATCGTTAAAGAATAAAGAAGAATTCAATTAGTACCTGAAATTTTTGTTTCTATTGAATACTTTTAAATAAATCATATGTTTAAGATTTAAAAGCATTTAAATGTTTAAATCATTTCAAATCCTGTTAAGTCGTATTTTTAAAAAAGTTTGGAAAATCCAAAAGTGCACGCCTCATAATCTCATTTTTTAAAATAAAATTGATTAAAATAAAATATAAAAAGCAAAATAATAAAAAACAGAAAACACTGCTATGGTTTAGTGGCGCCATAACTGCAAGGTGAGGAAAAAAATACTAAAATAAAATGTCTAGATAGAAATACAAAAAATCCACAGTCATTTATTAGTTTTTTATAAATAATAACTTAATGACAGTGAATTGAACGCTCATATTAATTAAGAAATTCTGTCGTGTGTTACTTTAGATAATTAAAAAAAAATTATTCCAGTACGATCATTTTTTCGACCAATTTCTCTGCCACATACACCCATCCATCCACGGACGTCCAAAAAAGATTATGTTTAATGTTATTATTTATTATGTTAAACAAAAAAATTGTTATTGAAATATATTTTATGTACTTGAAAAATTATTTGACTTGACATAAGTGTACTCATTTTAACCTGTAAGTGCGATATAAATAACAAAAAATCAATTTCAGTTTCGAGAAAACAGCTTTTTTCGAAATGTCGAGAGTAAAGCACAACCTCAACGCTTCGCTTATGAGGCATGCAATTAAATAGTATTTAATAGAATTAAAAAATTTTAAAACACATGATTCTTGGATATTCAATCATCTACTATATTAATAATAATAATTGTATACTTTTTTCTATACCGAACAAAAATTGTAGCAAAAACTGCAAAGGTCACATCGTAATTCAGGACCAGACTGTCAATATCTTTATACTTTCATGATTTTATATTTTAAAATTTATGATATTACCATAATGTGGTATCGTACCATGCTTGAATCATAAATAATGTGAACATTCATTTGATATCTTTTGACATGTTGTATTTAGTTCAGCTAATTAATGACTTTTGTACATTATGAGTGTCAATAATAAGTACAATAAGGATGTGATTTATTAGATCAGTTGATAAAATTTGAGGAACTACTCAAACAACACCTAAATTTTAAGTTAAAAGACTATAATTAATACACTATCAAAACAAACTTCAATAATATTATCCAAATAATCAGATCCCAGAAAATTATATTAGTAAAGGTTCAGGTTAATACAGATCTATTATTTATTCTTGTGTTAATTTATTTTATCCAATTCAGCAACGTTTCGTTACGTATCGTAACTTCCTCAGGCTTCTAATAACAAACATACATAATATAAATTAAAATTAAAATCTTTTACAACAAATTTTACATCCAAAATTTACATCCAAAATTTAGTATGTTTGTTATTAGAAGCCTGAGGAAGTTACGATACGTAACGAAACGTTGCTGAATTGGATAAAATAAATTGACACAAGAATAAATAATAGATCTGTATTAACCTGAACCTTTATTAATATAAACTTCAATAATCTTAATTCTCAATATGTTAAAAAAATTATAATAGCTGTTTCTTACAGTTAACTGCCAATTGGCAAAAAATAATTGATGCTTTTACCTTTTTATACACTTTTATTTTCTTTCATTTTCCTGATCTTAAATAACCATGAAAAGGACTTAAGTATGAATGAAATTTTTATTATAATAGTTGAAAAAAAAAATAATTGGGCTACTAAGACGGATCTGCCAAAAAATCACTTGTGTAATTGCAATATTTATGTAAAATACAATAAAAATTTAATGCATTAATGGAGTTATTACAACGCGACGATAGTTGGATGACTAAATACAAAATACTCTTTCTTTAGAACATATGCATATTGTATAAATCTTTATGAGACCATTACTCTTTCTCGAGCGAATATGAGCTATACCTTCAAGGCTATCACGATAAAGTTATCGGAGTTCAGAATGTAGATTCCACAGTTGTAACCGTTTACCATTGAGTTTTTTTAAGTGCAGAAATGTATTTTGCAAAAATCTGAGCAGGCGAAAGATTGAAAAAAAAAAATTTTGGAAATTCTGAAAGTACACGACTCATAATACTCATTTAATTATAAAATAATAATAAAATAAGAAATGTGAAAAAAGTTAGTAAATAGTGGAGCCTACAGGCCATCTCTATACAACTTCCCGTCAATTTCAAATGCAAGACGCTCCAAATGCACTAATTACGACATTTTTGAGCTCTCCGAGCTCAAAAGTCTACTTTGCATTCAGTAAATTTAGCACGGTTAAGAGAGTTTTACGAAAATTCTCAGGAAGAAATTCGATCTGATGAGGAATTGAAAAACTATTAAAGGACCACGTTTTTAAAATTTTTTTTTTAAATTAAATATCTTACGAACCAATTATCCGATTTGACGAACGTTAAGGCGTTCGATGCAGTTTTTTGAACACTGACAGTTATCTGGTTACATAAAAAAAAATCTGAGAAGAAATTTAGAACTTATTTGAAAAAACACTTTTCTAAATTTTTCGACAAATCGACAACGACATCTCTTCTACTAATAGACTGATTTTGATGTGGTTTACGACAGTTTACGCAGTTATTAGAGCACGAAAAAAACCATTCTTTACTTGCTCAAAGATCCAAGAAGAAATTTTGAAGTTATGTAAGAAAATTACTTTTTTCAAAATATTTTAACAACGATTTCTCTTCAACGATAATCAACTGATTTTGATGTGGTAACGGCAATTGATGTTGTTTTGTGTGGCTAAAAGCTGATTAGGTTTTTGAATCGATACATTAGTTTGAAAGTTATCGCAAAAAATCATTTTTTCGAAAATTTTATTTTTGATATTTCTCAAAATTTATCGAGCTAAGGACTTTCCGTCTCAGAATTATTTCTTTTATCAGATGCTACAATGGCGTCCGTTACTTCTGGGACACTGTATATATATCCAATTAACATAAAGGTAATCATTTCAAATCATCTTTCTGAATCATGATCATAAGTCGTGCGCAATTATGTATATTATTACAGCAACAATATTGGGAATCCTGACTTTATACGATTGTTAAAAAAAAACCTATCAATTTTATAAAATTTTATACAATTGCATAGAAATTTAATGAAAAAATTTTTTCTCAAGTACATTTTCCCTTTGAGTGAAAAAAAAAACCCAGATCTCATTTTCAAATTTATCTAGTATATAGTTGAGTCTCGTTGTGAGTTCTATTTGTTTTCTTTTTTTTTAACCAGACTCACGTTAATATGAGAGAGACACCAATAGGACTCATAACGAGACTCGACTATACTAGATATCGGTTTATATCCTAATGAATACTACACTTACATCTTATACACCAATGGTGATCGAGCTAAGTATAATTGAGACAATATGTAGGCATCGACATATACAGAGTATATTACATATACTTTACTATACCTTTATACCCAAAATATTAATGATCATTATTTGTATATTCATCATTCCTAAAAGGACATTGCGATTAGTATAGTTTAGTGTTTGTTTTTTAAATTGCATAAAAAAATTGGTAACCATTTCGAAGGTTATTTTTTAATGATAGTTAACACACAAAAAATTAATGATAAATAAATTTATTAAAAAAATGATTCAACTATTTGGGATTATTCAAAAACGACTGGCAGTCTTCAAGTCTCTGAGAATAATCGAAGAAAGTTGGCCGGCATCAACGACCGATGAACATGAGTGTGTTGAAATGTTGATAGAAACGATAAAAAAGCAGTGGGAAGTATTTGACGAAAACATTCATGAAGTTTTTGAATTATTATCTGAAGTAAGTGACAAATTAACGACAGAAATAAATGAGGAGTTTGCCAAGGCGCACGATTCGAACAATAACCACTGGGCACTTGAGAAATTTTACTTGAATTTTCATAAACAACTTCTTATAACTTTAAACAGAGCTAAAAATTGTAACGAAAATGTTTCGAACAGTCATTCATAAAAGACAAAAATTTTTAAATAAAATTTTTTTTCTTCCATCACTAAATCTACAATCAGGTATATATAATTTAAGTAAGTTTTTTTTTATTATGAAACCAAAAACTGATAATAATACTTTTTATTGGCAGGACAACTCAAACATCAAAAGTAGAAGCAAAATCTTGGAGCTTCAAATTTTGTTGGAACGTCAATAAAATATTTCATCATCAATTGACAAAATGATCAGCATTTTTTTTAATGATTAGGAGGTCGGAACTTGGAATTAGTGAGAAAAAATTAATCACTTTCCTCGAAGAAAAGTGGGATAAATACAATAAAATTTATAAGTGATTTTAGAACATAGTTTTCTGAGATTTAATTGAATTCATGTCATTATCAAATTCAATTTTTCAATTAAAAAATTCAAAAACTAAAGATTTTGTTAATTTAGTATTTATTGTAATTTTTCGTCGTTTGTTAAGTACTTTTTTTTATTAAAAATTTCGGTTCTCAAATATTTAAATTATTTACTTAAAAACTTTTAACTTAAAAATTAAATTTTTGGTTAGTTAAGTAAAAATATAAGTTATGATTCAAATAATCAAAACTGATTAAATTATTTAGTGAATAACCATTAATCAAACTGAAATATTGATTATTTAGAAGTTAAATGGTGAGTTGAAAAATAAAGAACAATGCGAAAGTTAAATAAAGCAAAATTTTTTTGGTACTTTGTTGTCTTTTTTGATTGTTTTAATAAATAATTAATATAATTATGAGTAACTAATTTTTTACTGACGTTTACCTACATCAAACTCTTTTCATTTAATAGAAAGAACTAGATCTACTTACATTCCAAGGAATTATTTGACCTTAAAAGTTTGAGAGTAGAGCAGTTCCTCAAAAGCGACTTATTGTAAAATGTACAATTTGGTAAAAAAAAAAAAGTTTATAGCATGAATGATATTTTGTATTACGTAAAATATTAACAATAAAATATATAAAATAAAGTTTACAAACAATGACAATAACATACGGGTCATCCCATATCAAATCGACTAACGGTTGGAATCGACTTCTCCCAATTTGGTCGTAATGAAAAATCGAAAATGGTCGTAAAGTCTTTTTAAAAAAAAAATATTTTGTAGCCCTGAGATTCTACTTATTGATTTTTTGAGTTAAAAAATTTTTGTATGCACGGCTTCAATACAATCCAAAGATATAGCGCGAAAAAAAAATCTTCAAAATTTTTTTTCATAAATTTACTCTTCATTTTCTTGGTTCATAGGTTTGGAAAAAATTTTGGACCAAATAGCTTATTTATGCAGCTTCAATTTTTTTTTCGGTTTCTTGCTACGTCCATTTGTAGCAGTGATATCCAAAACTAAATGGAAAAAAAAAACCCATTCGTCTTCAACCATTTTTCAACTTCCCGCTAAGAAAATCGAAGATTTTTAAAAATCGGGAAGTATTATTGTTTTCACCCCTTTTTACGAAGATCGAGTTTTCATCGAATCTCGACGTATCGAGGTCCTAATAGGAAGCTTCCCTGACTATTCCCGCGATGGTGTCTGTATGTCTGTATGTAAGTGTGTGTGTGTGATTTTTTTTTTTTTTTTTTTTTTTTTTAGGGG